AGGCAGCAGAAGGAACAGAGAGAGAAACATGAAAAGTTCTAACCTACTGTTGTCGGCTTTGAAGGAGGGAGAAGGGGCCACAGGCTCAGGGATGTGGGCAACTGCCAGAACCTGGAACAGGCCAGGACATGGATTCTCCACTCGAGTTCCAGCAAGGAACACAGTCCAGCCTGAGCCACTGACCCGTGTCAGGCCTACAGAGCTGTGCGATGATGTATATATTGCTTACACCATTAAGTTTGCAGTAATTTGTGATGACAGTGATATAAAACTATCACGAAGATTCATGGGAAACTCTGTGGCTTGGCCCTAAGACAGTGGAAGAAATAAAAATTCTAGATGAAACAGGTTGGGGGCCAGTAAGGTGGGAAGACAGGAGTCCAATTTGGACTTGTTAGGTTAGAAATTTCTACTATTCATCCCAGTGGAAATGTCAAGTCAGTAGCTATAAATATGAAGCTGGAGTTCGGGAGACCATATGGCCTGAGAGATACACTTGGGAGTTTCTAGCCAGTAGATGGTATTTAGGACTCAAGGGTAGACAAGATCCCCACACTTTCTCACTGCATTTGGAAATCTCCTCCAGGCTGGGATTTAAACCCTAAACTGTCCTTACTCCAACCACCCTGACTCTATCTTTACATAATTAAATTTACCAGTATATACACATTTATTTTTCATCTGGTGGCTAAAACAATGTAATATAGTCTGATCACAATTAGAGTTGTAAATTATCCATTTAATAAGGTCACCAAGTTTCCTGACTATTTTAACTTCCTTCTTGGAAATAATGCTCTCAGCTGCAGTTAAGAAGCTTTGTCTGAGGTCAGGCAAATCTGTGAGGGCAAATCTGCATGGAGAAGGTAAACTAGGAGATGAAGAAGATTGTGCCCATGGTATTTAGGAGTTCCCTAGAGGAGAACGGTTCCCAGAGGAGAACGGTTACCAAGGTGTTTCCTCAGTTACGCAAAAAATAGCTTCCCGGGGTGAGAGGCGAGGGGCACACAAAGATTGAGGAATGGTCTTTGCCTTCTCTAAAATAAAATTCACAAGGATGGTAGGTCAGGAGAATGGAGCTCATTTTATGGGGGATTAAAAAGCTGTGGTTAACATGGAGGGAAAAGTGGGAAGGGCTGGGGTGAGCCAGGAGCATAAAATATTCGATAAGGACCAAAGACATGAAAGAGAGAAAGAGCACAGACACACTCACCTC